CCCTGATCTCCAGTGCTCAGCTTTGGGGCAATCAGAAGGAAGATCTGCAGAGTGTAGGTCACCTGTGAGTTCCCACAGTGCTGCATGGATACAGGGAGAAGGGGACGCGTGAGAGACAGGGGGAGCTGTGCAGACCACCGAGAAGCTGGCATAGGGGGCTTTCTTGACTTAATTAGTCTGCAAATGGATCCATCTACACCAAACACAACCAGTGCATTGTCATTTAAGTGTCCTGAATGGGGAAATGGCATCAGTTTTTCACTAGTCCAAAAATCTCCAAAACTGTATTCAGGGGCCTAGCCAATGACTATTAGGACAAATATTTACAATGGCATCATATGAAGATACTGGGAAATGAATGGACATAGATATCTTTTAAAAACCATAAATACATGATCATCACTTATAAGATCTGTAAAACATTATGGCAAGTCATTTTGCATTCCATCATTTGGAATAAGTGTAGGTTTTCTTCTTAAAAGTGAAAGACTTTTCTAGCTCTTTGAAGGAGGCTTTGAAAGTGCTGTGTTCCTCAGCTCCAGTGCCGCCCATCAGGCTGTCAATCTCCCTAGTTCTGTGGCCAGTGAGTACTCCTATCCCCTCGCTCAGCTGCGTCCTTTACTGTGCAGTGGACTTGGGAACCAGATATCCATGGTGGTTAGAACTGGTAGAATTGGTAAATTAATAGTAAATGAAACTGTAAGGAATGGCTCTGAGATGCTAACCTACACAGATGGCATGGGGTTTGGAAAACCACCTTTGTTTTGGTTTTGCATCTAGGTTCTAAGTTGCTAGGGCTGCCACAAACATATTGCAACAGTTCAAAAAATCAGATACACAAACTATCCGCTGGTTAACTGTACACTTTATTGTTCGTCTTTGCAGGAGGTACACAGAGAAGTTCTGATGTGAAATGAATATGATAGTCTGTAGGTCAAATAAATAGACTGATATAAGCAGGAAGGCCTTTGGAAACTCAGGTGTTTAAAATCCACTGGTGCCCAAAATCCAGTCATCTGGCAATATTGTTAGCCAAAGACAGCAGTGGGTTCAGGTGCCAGTGCTGACATGCCCACTTGATCTTGGCAATACTTTATCCTCTATGTTCTTAAAATTCCTATCCCCATCCCCAAATGGTTGAAACAGCTTATATCTCTATCAATTTACAGATGCTGATACAGGTCTCTAAGGGTGTAGCATTCCCTCTTCAGACCTCAAAGCCAAGACATTCGTCCTAAGTGTTATTTAAGCTGATCGGTCATGGAGGTGTTGCATAGAGGAGAGCTGCTCCAGCTCTGGAATCAGACTGCCTAGGCCATATCAAGTAATATCTGTGCTCATGACAAGGTTATGGCCTCAGAGAAAGGTAGATGGTTATTTTTTGTTTGTTTGTTTTGGTTTTTATTTTTCTGGTACCAGGAATTAAACTCACGACCTCGCGCTTGCCAGGCAGGCGCTGTGCCACTGAGCTAAATCCTCAGCCCCAGGGAAAGGTAGATGGACTTAACAAATTCCAGGCAATCTTTCTGACCTCCCTTCCCGTTTTTGCATACTGGCCATTCAAAGGAGAGAGCTGCAGGAAAGAAACCTTCCCAGCTGAGAGGGTGATGGCTGGTATATGGTCCTGAAGAGCGGCATGAACAAGAGTTGGTCTCCATAATGTTGGGACATATGCAGAGTCCTTAGTGAGGCCAGACCAACTCTGGCTTTCTCAGGAGTACAGGGTCATCATCAGCCACTGGACATGAAAGGGAAGCAAATGATGATCAGTTCAGACTCACCTGACTTGGGACTTCCTCCTCCTCAGTCCTGGGGAACCATGGAGACAGGACGTTAATGAATGGTTTAGCCAGAGGGACCATACCACCTGGTAGTAAGTATAAATCAACCTGAAATATAATCAACCTTCACTTCTCACAGTGCCTATGAATGATGACAGCCAAGCCACAGGCTGATTCTGTAGGCAACTCTCAGTGAGTTTTTTCCCCCCATGGACTCAATTTGGCATGCTCAGGCCAGCTCTGTGTAGGTATGCAAAGCAACTGGGTAGTGAAAATCCACGAAGGCGTATTCTACAGGTTTACATTTAAGGACCGATTGATCTGATAGCTTTATGTGGGTGTGATGAACAAGTATCTCTAATTCACATTGAGAGGACCTCTGGAGAAACTAGACCAATACATCAAAATGATGATGCTGATGATAAAGAGGATACTGAAATCACCAGTGGTGTCAGAAAAAGCTCCAGAGTGAAGCTTTGACAAGGTGGCTGCCATTCCCAGCAGACCTGGGGTGACCCTGCTTATATCCTCTTCAATGAGCCTGAGAGGGTCAGAAAGGGAGGGGATCTTAGAGACAGACCTTGTAGCCAAAGTCACTCACTTCACACAGGAGGAAGCTGCAGGGCCCAAGTTTTAATGTATTTTGCCTAAGGCCCTGCAGCTAATTACAAGGAGTACTTCAGCCCCCCAGTCAAGTTGTTGTGTGACAGCACAGCAGTTTTTTAGGGGCTGCTCAGGCTGTGCTCTGTTTCACTGCCCTACTCATGCTGTCCTGCGCTCTCAACTCAGAGCCTGCCATGAGAGAAGGCTTGCCTAGGGTCGAGAGACGATGCCTACCAGTCACATGAGACGGGAAGCAGTGCAGAATGGACCCAGAATATTCTAGCCACGGCACTTTCAGCTGAATCTCACCTTTATACCAATTATGAGAGTGACTGAGGGGACACATATGCTTAGGGTCTGTATAAAACCAGTTCATGAAATGGTCATTTGAGATTAAGGAAGAAATCTCTACTTTCAGTGGTTCCTTTCTAAGCAGCTCAAATAGAGCAGATGTTGCAGAAATAAAAAAAGAAAAAGAGCAGCTGATTCCAGACTCAAATGTCCTTGCAGGGAACACTAACTATGTAGCACCACATCTAATGCGTAACAGATGCTCAATAAACCAGTGTAGTTTGACCAATCAGGGAAGACAGTGGTAATATACATGCTTTTGTCTTCTAAGCACTGCATGAGGTTCAGCAAAAGATCACAAAGACAAGAGAGGATGCAGTACCTGCTTGTGGGAGAAAGTTAAGGCTGGTCATTTGTTTTTTTTTTTTTTTTTTGGTTTTTCTCCGGTACCAGGAACCGAACCCACGACCTTGCGCTTGCCAGGCAGGCGCTTTTGCCGCTGAGCTAAATCCCCAGCCCCTAAGGCTGGTCATTTGGTGAGGTTTATTTCTGGCCTGTGATTCCTGCCTGATCTGACCCTCATCTTGAGACATCCCGAGCTAGTTCCTGTCATCCTCTGTCCTCTACCCAGGACTGGATATGGCTCCATCTAGCATAGACCTTTTCTACCTTCTACTCTTTCTGGCTGGATCTTTCTTGTCCTGGAAGTTTTAGCTTCCATGTCAACTCCTCTGAGACCTTTGTGGAACACTCTAGCTCCCTTGTCTTTGCTAGAGTCACAGCTGCACCCAGGTCTTTGTCCATCTCTTTGTCCATGCCCTGCTGTGTCTGCCAAGTGACCTGAAAGAGGATGAGGCTATTCACCATCTGCTGAAATGGGTTTGGCCATGTGACTTGCTTTGAATGATACAACCAGTTGCAAGACACCATGTCCCAGGCCATAGCCTTGCTGCTTAGAGACCCTGCATGCTTAAATTCACTATCTTGCACTTCCGACATTATCCCAAGAAGGGCAAGCCTGGTCAATGTTTCCCCAATGAATGTACCCAGAAAAGCTCCCAGCTAACCCATAAATGCATGAGCAAGCCAGCAGAGATGTGCTGACCTCCAGCCACACAGCTCAGGGCTAGATACGTGTTCGCCTTATGCTGCTGAAGTTTTGTGGGTTTGTCACATGGTATCGCTGTGATCAGAACCACTGGACACACTGTGTCAGTCTCCTGTCCCTTCACACATGCCTGGCACAAACTGGGTGCTTAGTAAATATTTGATAGATGAATGAGTGAAATGAATACAGTGCTAAATATCCTACTCAGTAGACTGAAGAGTCCCCAGAACCTGTCTTCTTCACAAAAGCCTGGACTTCACTGGCCACCTGGACATTTGATGATGTGAGCTAATTCCTGGAGAGGGAGGAGGAGTCTTACCTCTGGCTTCTGGAGGTATATCCCCTTGCCATCTTGGGTTAAGTTTTGGAAGACATCTGTGAAAATACAGCAGAAAGGAACCAGCTAATTTATGTGTAGGGGCTGGAAGCATAAATTAGTTCCTCCCATGCATCCCTTCACACAAACCACATCCATGCTGAAAACACAAAGGAAACCAATTTCTGCCTACATGTAACCACATATGGCCACCTTTATTACAAGCGAGAGTCCTCAAACCTTTGCCCCTGGAGCAAGGCAGGGTAGGAATTAGTTTGAGCAGATGCAGCCAAGTTGCACAGGCGCATGGCTAGCAATTGCCATAATTGCCCCAGTCTGTCGTTTCTGGACTGGCAGCTATCTTCCCTCGAGTTTGAACTCAAGGGAGGCTGGCAGTGTGGGGTGTGTGGAAGCCCCTCCTCCTCACTGCTTACCCTCCATGTTCTCCACACGCATCATCAAGTAGACAAAGCTGACAAAGTCAATCCGGAGGCTGGGGCTGCCATAGCGCAGGAGCATCAGCTGGCAGACATCGTCCCTGAGCACGATTCCTGCATAGAGCACAGGCCTGCTCTACCTGCCAGGGTTATTGTACTCATTTCCCCACCCACCTGAGACCCTCCACTCCGGGACCTGAGTCTTGACATGTAGATCTTTTTATGAGGTTTATTTTAAATTATTATATCAATGATTTTTATTTTATGTCCATCCCTGACCCGTGTCAATTTAGACAACCAGTACAAGGTTCTTTTATCTAGTGGATTACTGGCCTCCAAGGCAGGGGCAGAGCAGAGTGGACAAGAGCTCAGGGGTCCAGAGCATCTGCTTCAGAGCCGGCTGGTCCTGGTCCTGCTGTCATCACCATCATCACCTCCACTATTGTCACTTCTCCTAAAGCTGCTGTGTTCTAGCTCATTCTATCCTTTCCTAGCAAGGGTGAGGGAGCCTTGGACTGAGCTGGCCAGCAGGGGAGGCCGAGGAGTGATATCAGCCATTGAGCAGGGACATACGTAAACTGCAGGCAGCTATACAGAGTTGGACAAATGCATGAGCAAGCCAGCAGAGATGAGTTGGACAAACACATAAGCAAACCAGAGTTGGATAAATGCATGAGCAAGCCAGGACAGTCCCTTAACTTCTCTGAGCTTCAGTGTCTTCTTCACTAGAGTGGGGATTACAACAGTATGTTGTTGAAGAGAGCTTGGATGTGCCAGCCCTCTAATGTGTCAGCCATGTCACCAGTGTTTTTGTTACTTGAGATCCATATCTTTGGGCCTCTGTGCTTAGGGAGTAACGTCGCATATTAGAGTCACTTCAGAATGTCACACATCCCCACCTCCTTTCTGCTTGGGGTATGAGCACCTGCCCTTCATGCCCAGAAGTACCACTCCACTGAGCTTACCTGCCTCCCTCATGACAGCCTGCAACTGTGCCCAGTCAAGGTATCCTGACCCACGACTGTCTTGCTTGTGGAATACCTCCTGTGAAGAACCAAAACCAAAGGCTAAGGAAGCCAGGCCTGCCCAGGCACCACCTGACAGCCCTGTGTGTCCATGTCACATTGCAGAGGGACTATGGGTGGGGTAAGAATTGGGCAGAGGGTCCAGGCTGGGATCCCACCACCTACAGCCTCTGAAAAAGGCAGAGACCATCTTGTTATGGAACACAAGAAATCTGCGGGACATAATTCACACTTGTAGGTGGTTTTAACTTTATGACTCAGGAGACAAGGGGGAGAGTTGTAATGATGGGAAGAGTAGAAAGAAGCCAATTTATGAAGAACATTAAATGCTGAGTGTGGTGAGGAGTCTGGACTTCCTCTGAAGGTGAAGGGGAATATAAAAGGCTCTCTGTAAGGAAGCCACCTGATTGGACAGTGTTTTAGAAATTCAGAGGACTATTGCAAGAGGCTGAGTTGGGAACAAGGAGCAGCAAAGGCTCCCTGCAGGGAGAGGAGCGATGTGGCAAGTGGTCAGGGCTGATAGGCTGAATGGGAGAGAAGTGTCTTAGGTAGATTTGCAGAACTGGCATTCCAGTACCATTCTCCAAAGCAGTGTGGCTAAGAGTTCTTCTTACCTGATAGAGCATCAGCCGCTTCCACAGGCCCCTGAATTCTTGGAGGCTCACAGTACCTGTTGCATTAAGCTGATGGCAGGTTAAGGCAAAATCTTCCAACTCTGTAGCTGCCTGCAGTTTACATACGGCCCTGCTCCATGGCTGATATCACTCCTCGGCCTCCCCTGCTGGCCAGCTCAGTCCAAGGCTCCCTCACCCTTGCTGGGAAAGGACAGAATGAGCTAGAACACAGCAGCTCTAGGAGAAGTGACAATAGTGGAGGTGATGATGGTGATGACAGCAGCTATCATGTAGTAAAGCAGGATATATTGACACGCCAGTTCCATTGATATATTTATCGGTTTTAGACAGGGTTTCACTATGCAGTTCAGGCTGGTCTTGAACTCACTTTGAAGCCCAGGCTGACCTTGACCTCCTACCTCAGTCTCCTGAGTGCTGGGATTATAGGTGTGTGCCACCACACCCAGTTTTTTTGTTTTCAGTTTTGGTTTTGATTTTCCCATGTGATTTAAATAAAGCCCAGTAACTTTTTTTCATTATTGTTAAAATTAATGTATGGGAAGATTAGGCACAGAGTGGCTAAGGATGCCTGTAAGTCATCTTTTGAAAAATTGAAAGCTGAACGGTTGGCCTTTTAAACCACATCTAAACATCCAGGCATCAGAGAGACTGGGTCAAAATATCATGGCACACTGTCTCACATAGTCTAGCACTGAGTTACATGCTTTCTCTGTAATACTTTGATTATGCCTAACAGGTGAGGTAGGCATTGGTTCCCCCATGTTCTAGAGGATGAAATGAGCATTCAGAGAGATTATGATCTTGTCCAAGTTCATAGAGCTGGTGATGCAAGGCTAGGAGCTGCCCCAACGCCTATGTAGCCACCACCTGGCACTGCCTCTGAGTGATTGCAAAGATGACTTTGGCTTTTACAGCCCTCAGACTGTCCATTTTCTATGCCTCTCTAGTATGGTCAGTCAAACTTTGATTAAACTGCCCATTTAGAAAGCATTTTCCAGAAAAAACAAAGGGCTGAGAGCCAGGAAAACTGAGTTTCTAGACTATCTTTAACTTCACTGAGTGCGGGTTTTCTGATCTGCAAATGGAGCAGCTACTTCCTTGTCACCAAGTAAAAGTCTTCGGACGCCAGGTCTCTCGTAAAGACCTCTTGCAAAGCTAGAGAATGGTTACTAACCACCACTCTGCAGCTGTCTCGTCCTCACTCTCAGAAAATGGGATTATTGTTATTGATGGCTATTTTGATCACTTGTTAGATGGCAGTGCGGACCTCAGCATCCTGCCTGTTATCCATTTGCATTCTCTAACCAGTCCCACAGAGTAGGTTTTAACATGCTCTCCCTGCCTCCCAGGACCTTCTCATTGGAGGCACAATGAGGCTCAGTGACTTGTCCAAGATCACACACCTAGGAAGGATTAGGGTTGGGATTCAAACCCAGACAGGCCAGCTCTTGAGTGGCACTGCTAACCAACAGCAAGCATCTGCCCACAACCCTAAAAAGATATATCCAGGAGGGCCAGGATCCCCTGGCAGGAATCAAGGCTGAAGAAGGGCCGTGCATTCGCCAGACCTGTAAGGGACAGGAATTAGCACGGAGGACTGGGCCAGGTCCTCAGCCCCTGTTCTGAATAGGAGGAGGCTATGCTGTCCAGACCAGCCAGAGGTTCTGGTGACACCATATATGTTGGGGGGACAGGAGGAGAAGGAGGTATTGGGGCCTGGTGGTGGTTCCTACACCATGTAGAAGACACCCAGCTCTGGCCAACTTTGCTTATACAGTAGGCCAAATGCACATACTCTCTGTACCTATGGAGAGCTGGGGTTGTAGGTGCAGGATCCCAGGTTTGAAAGACAGCCACACTCAAGAGAAACTTCTTATGTCAAGTCCAAAGGAACCTTTTGTAATATTTACCCGCTGGTCTAAGTTCTGCCTCAAAAAATGGTATTTGTCTTCCCTGTGGCTTCAACCCTCTTTTCTAAACATCCCAACATGTCTCCAGCCATTCCTCAGATGATAGTTTTTAAATCTTCATTGCCCCTTTCTGGACTCTATATTTTGCCAGTATCTATTTACAATATTGTACCAAAACTTGAACACAATCTTGAGATGCAATTTTATCAGAATACAATAGGCCTATGGCTTCCAAAGTTTTTAGACCACATTTCCAAAATTATCTCCCAAAGGAGATGTTCTGCAGAGAACAAATTTTGTGTTCAAGTAAATTTAGGATGCTTTGTATCTGTAGCCCAATTTCTACTTCCACCAAGATCCTTAGTCAGCATTGAACTTTTGAAAAAATAAAGTATTTTCCAAGTATCATTAACCATAAACAAACTCCTTTTATTTCATGGAATACTTACCAGACCTTCTTATGAAACTGATTTGCATACTTGTGATGTAGACATTTAAGGAATTTTAAGCCATCTCTTCTAAATAATTTCCTTAGAATTAGTCTAGAATTTTTTGGAGGAGGAAGACTTCCAGTGTTCTAATTTCTCAAGTCTTTCCCGTCTGGTTCTTTGACTGATAACAAAATCTGGCTTTAAGAAACCATCTGGAAATTATTTAGAAGGCTGAGCCATACAATATGTTTGACTATGCTTTGTCTGCATTTGGAATCTTGGCTATATATAGGAATACAAGGGAGAAGCAATAATGTATGTTAGGTAGTAAATGCCTTTTAGTTATTTGTTTTAATTTTGTCTCTTTGATGTTTTTGAAGCTCATTCACTTTTCTGGAGAAATCGGCCTATTTCCTCCAGGTTCTTCTCACTTCAAATATGTGTGCAAAATATTTCTATATGGACTTTACACTTTCTGTATAACTTATTCCAGACTTTGTGGAAAAACATCAACACTACTCATTGGCAGTCTCCCTAACTGATGCGTTCTCTCCTTCCAGGTTTATATAGTTTGGTAGATTTAAATATGAGTTCATCAGAGAGCCCTCTAGGGAGGCTTATCAATGCCTAATATTCATCTCACAGGTTGCAGAAATGATGTAATTCTTCCATATGGAAATGATATACCAAGAAAGGACTCAGCTATTCTTCTCAAACTAACAAGTGGCAGAAATCTATTTTTCACTACCATATGTCTCTACACATCCAAGCTAAAAAAAAAAAAACAAAACCAAAAAAAAACATTTTCAAAGCTGAACAAAGCCCTCTTCTGCTTTGTCAGACCACATAACCCACCCAAGTCTCTAACACAGATGCTAGATGGAGCGGGGACCCAGTGATTCACACATCCCACCAAGAGGAGGAGAAGCAGAGTCCTCTCAGATGACTCTTAGTAGTTACCTGGCCAGATCACGTGGTTCAGGATCTTCTGCAGTTGAACTGCATTTATTTCTGGATACTGAAATGAAAACAGAACGGTAAGAGAAAACCATGGTTACTGCAAGCTCATTAGATAGCAAAGGAGCCACAAGTAATGAGGCTGAGGGCATCCTATCCAGCACAATTATGTGCCATTTCTGAGCGGAAATACTGGCACCACTATATTGTATATAAAGAATGTGACTGGACAGGTAATTAAATCTGGGATTTCACAAGAACTATGATTTTTTTAAACTTGTTCCCAAGTCCACAGCACCCCAATAGAGCGGGACTTATATGGCATTCTCATTAAAGGTGTTTCAAAAGTTCAGCAATTTGCTTTGAATTTTCTTCTTCATAAAATGTCATCATCCAGAATTCCAGATTTTAATTTTAGAGTTTATTAAAAGCAACTCTATAGTAACATTTGACTTTAAAATATATCAATGAAATACATGTGCTATCCACTCAAATTTCTAAAGCTGATAACATTCATAAATATGTAATTTTAACCTGATTTTTATACATACGGTGATAGCTTGATGGTTGAACTCAGTTTGTTCCAAATTCATATTCAGATACTGAAAACTTGAGACCTGGACTTGTTTTTTCCATAAGAAATAACAGAAAACTAAATAATTGGTTCTGAGGCCCAGATACCACACTTATAAGATTATTTTTCCAAGACTTTAACAAATTTCACAGGGATTTCTTTAACTCTATCGTGAGTCTCAGTTTTCCTTAGGTTTACTGCCGGTATCACTAACTTTGGAGCCATGGTTATGATATTTTACATAAAATATAGGAACGAATGTGAGCACTCTCTGCTGTCTGGGTGAGAATGGCTCGGAGACAGACAGAAGCTCATCCCCTGGGTCTGTGGTGAGATGCAACACATGACCCACTCTTGGCCCACACAGGTTTTTTCAAGTTGGATTTTTGAACTGACTACTGAACAAAGTTATAAACACTGAACAGATTTTTTTTCAAACTTTGCTGTTTGCGCAGTGGAACATTTGAGCTTGGAGCCATTCAATAACCAAGGCATCACTGTGCTGGGATTCTCTATGAGATTGCATGGGATAAAAGGACTGCGGTATACAATGTTTAGAAACTCCTGGTATGGAGGAAAACAACACAGGTGAGATCTTGATTTATTTTCTCTGGTTACATTAAGCAAAAGGCCAGATGGGGAAGGCAGGAAGCTGTGGATTTAAATAGGGTGAATCACTAACTCATAGAGTTCGTGTTCTTCCGGTTTTAATGGCAAACGTCAGGCTATAGATTTCTAATATGTTCCTTGCCAGGTTCCGAAGTGCCGGACAGCTTAGGGAAAGAGGGGTCCTAGAACTTCATACGTACTCTGTAACCTTCTGTAGGTCTCCATCTGGTTCAACCCAGGAAAGAACTTTAGGGGTCCAGAGCTGTGACCGCAGGACCCTCTCCTTCCCTGTGCCTTCTCACCATCCCTTCTTACCATCTTCTCCAGGCCACCCCCAGGGGAACTTGGGCTTCCCTCAGATGAGTACCTGTACCCCCAGGACTGTCATTGTCATGCCCCCCAACTCCATCTTGTTCTCAACACCGATTATCAACTCTGTAATACTCCACACTCTCGCAGCAGAAAGAATAAAGTTGCTTCTCCTACAACTGATCAATGCAGCTTCTGAGAACAGATCATCATTCACCAGAGCCTTCTGGAGACAATGGCTCTATTCACTTATATAAAAATGTTAGGACTTTAAAGTGGCAATTTGGGGACGGGTGGCTCTAAATTACTGTTTATATACAACATCAAGCAGATACAAACCCACACTTCAATAAAATTATACGCTCTACTTTGTCCCGTGCTCCTCCCACCCCTCCTTCCTGTACTTAGTCAACAAACCTTTTCAAAGACTTTGGCGAAGACTTCATACTGCCCTTCTTTTTGGTCTACTATCTCCTGTAGGAACAGACACATAGAGGAAGTTTTCCACAAGTGTACATGACTCACATGCACATGCTAATGTCCCCTGGCTTCTAGGCCTCTGAAATTGAGCTTACTTTATCCTAAATTTTCCACCATAGCAATCACAAACATCTTTGTTGCTCTGATTCTCACTGACGTTGGAGGAAAAATAAGGAAGAAAAGGAGCGGAAGAAACACCAGGTAGACAGAAGCAGAAGAAAGTGTATGTGTTACTTATGCATCTGGGGCTCGGGGCCCTCAACGGCAAACACTGAGCAGAAGGGCAGTTCTTTGCTCTTTCTCTGCTGTTTCTTGGGAAGAAATAGCACAACCTGAGAACTCCCAGGGTGCAGTAGGTGACGTGGTATGTTTGTCATTCAGCTGGGTCTGCACGGATCAGCGTACCTTCTTTCCCTCACTAACAAAACAGGAGATATTCACCATCCCAGCTTTGGAAACAGGCCCAGCCATGCAGCCTTGCACCTGATCACTCACCTTAGAGAAGACAGCACTGGAATTGCTGCCAAGTTCACTAAGAAAAAAAAAAGGACAGAGATTTTCATTCTGGAAGCCATTTGGGGAATCTCTGGAAGAATGTCAACCCTGCCCTGGGAGCTCATCTGCAAGTTCCAAAGCTGAGGCACCCTGTGGGCCTGCCCTGCTCACAATCCCCATCTTCCGCTGCTCCTTGAAGGATCCTGGCCAGCCACATGGCGTGGCTCACTGCCCCTAACTCCCCTTGCCCTCCTCTTCCTCCCCTGCTCCGTGCTCCGGCATGGAGATAAGGCCTGAGATCAACTCAAACTGCCTATGGTGAAGACATAACAAAAACAAAACTTTAAGCAAACCAACACAAAAGCACTTGGCATTAAAAGATGGTTATGTCAAAGCAATCACAGGCAAAACACTAATTTTGGCTGGGATGTGTACACATTGATTCAACTGCATACCAGGGGTGGCTGAGCCTGCTGGTGAATGGGAGCCTCCCCTCATCTGAAAAGCCCCTACTGCCTCTTCAGAGTCACCACCAGCCTGAATCCACCCCTGCTTCCCTGGAATCACGGAGGTCAGCTCACATGCCCACCACTCAAGCTTCCTGTGCGTATCGGTGAGAATACTGTCACAGCACTGACTGCTGATTTGTCTGTGTCCTTCCCAGCCCTTCAGCTGCAGGAGACAAGGCCCACAACTACTCTGTCCTTTTATCTGACACCAGCATGGAAGGAGAGTGGGAGAGTGGGAAGGGGGAAGAAGGATGACCTCTGTGGGGAAAGTTACCCTGGTGCCCTGTTCTCTCCATCTATCTTCTCTCCTAGTGGCAGAAACTATGGCCTCTGCCATCCCCAGACTCACCCATGTTGCCACCCCTGGGCCCAGCCTGTGTCCTTACTGTAAGATGTGCTTCCTGGAGAAGACCCGGAGGAGGAACTCTGCCTCCTTGTGGGGCTTGGATGTGCAGGGCACGAGGAGGTACGTGCCGGGCTCCAGCCACAGCTCCCGACTCACTTCCCTCTCTGTGAGAAACACCTCAGGCCAGCTCAGGGGAGCATTTCTCCAGAAGAACTCGGGGGGCAGTTTCCTCTGGTCCTCATAGCACTGAGAGCAAGGGGAGAAGAACACTGATGAAGGTGGTCACCCAGGGCTGGCAGCCATCAGCCGGGAGCCAGGGCTGAGGCGGCCTCACATCCTTCAAATCCACTGTGCTTGGTGGAAGATGAGGCTGAGGGGTGAGGAGCAGGGAAAGAGCCAGAATTTGTGTGGGGGGGTCACTTTTGCTGGAACCCTGTCAGGGGCTGCTGTAAATGGATTTGATGTCACATTTAAAACAATATGGACACAAAATGATGGAAGAAACGTCCTTGTGCCTTCAGGATCCATTTCGTAGTTCAAGGGCCTGAGGCTCACACAAGGTGGGTCATCTGTCCTGGGAAGTTCCAGTCAGGACTGGAATTCAGAACAGCTGAGCTCCAACACTCTTTGCATTTCCTGATGCTGCCTCCCTATACAGTGCATCAGAGGTCGACTGTGACACCACTGATTCTCACAGATACCAACAGACACCGCCACCCTCCACCCACTCCTGCATCATAGCAGCTACTCACAGACACGCTGGGCACTGCCAGCCACCTCTGTGTAACTGGTGACAGAGGGCGCAGGTGACTTGAAGCGGCGCTGTGGTTCTAACACTGCCTGTACTGGTGGCTCTGCACATGTGCCCTGTTATCTGGTTTTCTTTCTTTTTCCTTCCTTCCTTCCTTCCTTCCTTCCTTCCTTCCTTCCTTCCTTCCTTCCTTCTTTCCTGCCTCCCTCCTTCTTCCCTCCCTCCTTTCCTTCCTTCCTCACTTCCTCTTTTATTTCTTCATCTCTCTTTCTCTTGTTTCCCCTCCTCTTTCTTCTAGTTCAAGATTAAGCAGGAAGAAGTGGTCCATACCAGGCTCCTTTCTCCAGTTTATATACAAAGGCTGACAAAGACGCTGCTCAGCCACATAAAAACATCAGCAGATTCCATGTGGAGTTGATGATGCAAAATGTGTTGCCTGATGACACATTTTTCTGACCAGATAATGAGAACGAGGGAATCATCCAGTTGTCTTCTTTGCCTATCTGCTAGGACCCTCAGAGCTAAATATGACAAGCAGCAACAGTGCTTGTCCTGGGTTTAGTTTCTCTTGTAGAATCAACTGCCTACCCTCACCCAATTATGACTTTTACTTACCCTTCTTGGTTTTATAGCTGATTTGCCGTTTTCCTTTGTTTACCCTTTTATGGCAGATTGACCCAAATTCTACTGAGATGTCGGCATGATATAAATAACTTTTTCTTTTTAAATTAAAAGGCAACTTTGGGAGCACTCAGCATTCCCACAAGAGGGAAAAACAAACACAAAACCGAAATGATGAACCATGCAAAATGTTTTGTTTATAAAAGCCCTTTCGTTTGACTCTGTCCAACCTGAGAAAATGAGACTTTTCCTTCGGAAACAAAATCATAGCTGCCACCTTCCAAACCTGGAACACCTCAGGCTTTCTTCCCAATGCCCAGAGGGTTCTTCTCGTCCCTCTGCCTATGTTCCCCATTTTCCTGAACCTCAGCCCCCTGTCCCCAAGGAAGCGGGCTATGCGGTATCTTGACGTCCGGGTATATTTTAGGTCTATTTTATTATGGGCTTCATCACTCAGGCAAGGCTGTGATTTGTCACCCTTGCTGTGCTGTGACAGCCTTCAATATCAGCCCTAGGTATTTATGTAGGAATTTAATGAATTCTAAAATTTATTGGTTCTATGCTAGGTTGAGACTTCCTCATAAAAGAATAAGGATTTATTGGGGTCTTTGGATAAAAAAGATCAGCAGCTACTCTTTACCTATTCGCCCCCCGACACACACACACATAGCTCACATTATCATCAGGCATTCTCATAGCTTCCTCTTACACAGGGCTGCCAAGGTGAAAGCCAATCACACAGTGGCCTGGCCACATGAATATCACTCCAAAGTAGGGCTTCTGGTCAAGTGTGGAACTCACCTTGCTCACCTGGAAAACAAAAAGAGAGAGATCTGACTAGTCAGGGGCCCCTTACTGTTCACAAGCACAAGCCCGCATGGGAGCTGACATAGACGATTCTACCCTGAACCACGCCACCCCTCAATCATTTTAATCCATCAGCAGAAATGGGGGGAAAGTGAGGAAAGGAATCCTTGGCTTCTTGGGAGAGAAAAGGAAACCACTAGCAATTGTATCAACTATGAGCAGGGAACAGTGCAAAGACTTTCATACGGTCCTCTCTTATTCTACACTTCGCGTTAATACCTCAGACCCCATTTTACAGATAGAAAAACTGATGCACAAGTGAGGGAAGGTAACTTGTTCTAGATCACATAATTCCTAGGAACAGAGCCAGTGTTTGAACCCAGGTCTAAGAACAGAGACGGATGATGAAGTGGACAGAAACCACGAAGGAATGACAGCTGCTGGACACCCCATGCTGGGCCTCGAGCCCCCAGGCCCAGGACCACCTACTCTGAAGAGGAAGAAGCCGATGGCCAGGCGAGGCTTCCTGTTGCGGCACCTGTGTCTGGGCTTCTGGAGCAAGGACACTAGCACACTGCAGGGACCCCGGGACCTCCGATCTTCCTCAGGCCTCCAGATGGATAGCAGGAACTGTGGGTTCTTCCAAAACGTGTCTGGGCAGAGTACAGTAAGGTACAATGGTGTGCTCTGCATCCTGCTCCCCACACCACTAAGGAGACTTCTGCCAGGTTCACACCCGAGGTCCACCTGGGCAGAACTGGGGCCTTGTGTCCTCCGCTGCATGCCCCATCCATACCCTGCTCTTCTGCACAGGGTGCCCAGAGTTGTCCCCACTGTACCCCCTGTGCCCACCAAAGCTTGGCCCAGATGTGGTACAAACAGCTGCTTCCTAAGTGAAAGTAAGGGATCCTAAGTGAGGCTTCCTACGTGAGTGGGGGGTCTTGCCTAGGGGGATCTTGCCTAGGGGGATATACCTGGGAGCCTGGGGACCTCCACATTTTAACAAGGGTGGGCAGCTTCAGCCTTTGGAGAAATATAAAGGGAGAGAGTCACCAGAGCTAAGGCCACCCTGGCTTGCTGAGACCATACCCAGAGTCGTTTCCTAGCAAAGGGAGGCTCTCTACCTCCACCATGGAGGAGGAGCCATGGCCACCAACTCTCTCTCTTGAGAACTTAGACATGTTTGTTTCTAATAAATGGAGAACCAGTTCCTACCAGGTTCCAACGGGAAAGGCCTAATAACTATAGTATGATTACTATTTCAATTCTGTCTCTTAGGAGGTAAGTACCGCAATGTATCAATGGCCTTGTTCTAAAACAAAGAAAGACTTCACCCCCTCGTCCCCACGCTTGCTGCCCAGGGCCTCCTGCTGTGATCGGGAAAGACACCCTCACAGCTGACTGCTTGGCAGAGGGGACTGTGCCTCTGCAAGCCGGACCGGAGGTGCCCTCTTTGCTGTGGCAAGCAGAGCCCCCTCTGTCACCAACTGTGGGGGCCGCAGGCTGCACAGCCAACTGCAGCGGCTCTTCCCACCCTACATCCCCACCCCAGAGCCCTGGCCTCTGTGCCCACCTGGAGAGGCCTTCCTCCGGCCGCCAGCTGTGCTCCCCTTCTGCCATCGGCCCTCCCGCATGGTATACATCCATTTCTGGCCCATATCTAGGCTCGGCAGGCCTGGGCTTAGTTTACAGATAACCAGGAGCACAAAATGTGCTTTAAAGTCCCGCAGTGTCATCCTGGAAAGGAAGAGGGAACAGCACACAGAGGAAAGTGGGACGACTCCCAGTCCTGAAGACCAAGGACATGCCCATCCTGCTCCAGACCAAAACCCCCAGGCTCTGGTGCAGGGCCACGCCAGCCTTGTGGCCCAAGAGGTGCTGGATCAGTGTGAGGCTCCAAGGCCCGAGGTGAAGCTCTGCAGCTGTTTGGTGCCAGCATTCTGTACAATGGCCGATAGAGGAAAATAGTGCTATTTCTCAGTGACGGTGACAAGAGCTGAGCTGGGGCATTTATAACCCGCGCATTGATTTCTAGATGTTCCATAGGAACTGCACGAATCATTCATTGATGAAGGTCTTCTCCTCTCTGAGGTGCTGACATTGTGAGCTGAGGCTACAGCGAAAACTGTCAGGGACTCAATTTCCTTATTTGGAAAGTGGAGAAAACAGGATTTGCAGGGCTCTTGAAAGTGGAGGACCTTCAGAGGAGAGAGAGCCACAGTAGTATGGGGAGGAACAGGGAGCAGGAAGCCAGGAACAAGGGCTAAGGCAATTAGGAAGGGTGAGAAGCAAGAGCAGCAGGGCCAGAGGGGCTCTGGGAGATCCTGGGAGTAGCATCCCGCAGACAGTCTTGGTGGCCTTTTCTAAAAGGAGGCCAGTAACTTCCTAAGGTGGCAGGGAGTAGAGTTACTGTTCTGCATGGCCTAGATCACTGTAGTGAGTGCTTTCCTTATCTCTTTCTGGTTTTTTGCTTTATTT